GAGGGGGAGGGGAGCAGGAGGGAGGAGGAGGGAGCGCGGAGGACGAGGCCCGGCCGGGAGCGAGCGCGCGGCGAAGGCGGAGGGAGGGAGCGGCGGGCGGCGGGCGGCGAGGGAGGCGTCGCGGAAGGGCCGGGCTGAGCCGGGCCGGGAGGAGGGGCCGCGCTGGGGCGCGGATCTGGGGGTCCGGGAAGTCGGGGGTGGCGGGGTCTGTAGTCTGCGCGAGGTGGGAGGAGTTTGAGGGCTATGGAGGGGAAGACCCCGTAGCGGCGGGGCCTGGGGAGCAGTGGGGTGTGCGTCGAGGGGAAGGGGAGTAGCTGGGCTCTTCAGAGAGAATGTGGTGGAAGTTTGGGGACTTGAAGGGTGAAATTGAAAGAAAATATAATAAAGTCGCATAGGAAGACAGGGTTTTTGGAATAAAGTCGAATCCTCTGGGTGGCTGGTGTTCGGGAGAGTGGGGACCGAGATTTGGAGGTGAGGAAGAAGTGCAGACATGTCTGAGGAGGGGGGGAGCAAGCGTGAGAAACCTAGAAGGGACCAGTGGGCCAAGTGCCTGCCTGGGCCACACTAGGTTTTGAGTGGCAGGTGTCCGTTCTGGGCCTGGGACTTTCTGGTCACCTGAAGAGGTTTCCCTTTGGCAGAGAGAAGGGGTTAAGATAGGAAGTAAGACCAGCCATAGTGGTGCAGGCCTGTAATCCCAGCCCTGGGGAGGCTGAAACAGGAGGATCATTACAAAACCAAACTTCATATGTAGGGAAACCCTGTACCAAATACATAAAATTAATTAAATAAATAAGGAAATGGAAGATAAACCATGGCCATTGGTGGCAACATGGAAGGAAAAAATCATTCATGTGGAAAAGAGTATGAAAGGTAACAATTCCCAGGTGCAAGCCTTGGGCAGCCAAGGACTACCACAGGAGGGGCATGGTCTTCAGGCTTCTCCACCTACTACCGTCTCCATTTTCCTCTTCACTGGTATCCAAGATCACAGGGCAGGGTCAGGTAGGGATTGGGCTCCATGTGCCCACTTCCCCAAGAACCCCAGCTCCTATCCCAGTAGTTCCTTTGGAGCCCATCCCCACCGGACTGCAGGCTCTTACTAGCCCTGCCTGTCTCCTTCACTGCTCTGCAGGCCCTGCCAGTCTTCATCCTTAAAGCCAGCACCCCAACCCACCCACCACCAGTGCCTTCTTCTGAGTTTCCTCCCTGGCCTCCCACCAAGCAGCAACATCTCCCAGGACAAAGGACACCAGAAAGACAGGGTGATTTTTGGCAGCTGAAATTGGGAAGGCCAGAGAAAGGGAGAGACAGGCTGGGAATCAGCAAGACCTGGAGCTGGAGTATGGATTGGGAATTCTCAATAGCTCTTCAAATCTGGGGTGTAAGGTACTCATGGGGCCAGTCTGGCTGGAGCAGGTGGGAGTGCTGAGCCGGCAGGCTCTCACCTGCCTGCTGGGAAAGGAGGATGGCTCTGTAACAACACAGATTTTATGTCACAGTTCCTTAGGTCAGACTCAGCCAAGTTCTGGGAGTGCTGGAAAGCTCTAAACATTGCAAGGCACTGAGGAACAGGAACAAGAGCAAGAATGCTTCCTTGGCCTAGGAATGAATCATCATTGTGAAGTCCCTCTGGTTGGCTGGGAGGCTGCCCACTCTCCCTTCCTGGGGCCTGTCTCAGGCCTTCAAGCTCCCTGCACGCCTTCCTCCCTCTGCACCTTCCCTTCACCCCCACTTTACTTCCAAGGCTCCTCCTTCCTCCTTGCACTTTTTCCCGGTGGCATTGAGTTTCCTTTCTGACTTCTGAGTTCAGTTTCTGGCTGGGGCCCTTCCCAAATCCCTTTCTGTCTGAGCTTTTCTCTCTTGTTTTTCAAGCACTGAAACATGAACTAGGACAGTGTTTTATCTGAGCCTAAAGGAAAAATTTAGCACTAGGGACAGGTCATAGAGCATAAAGAGAAGCTAGGGCCTACCCCTTCCAATTCCTCCCTTACCTGAGGCCAGGCTCAAAACTCTGACTTCAGGAAATGTACCACACCCCCACCCCCACTGCCATCCACCCCAGCTCCCTCTCTGGCCCCAGCCCCCCACAACCCACTGGTCTCCAGGCAACGGCACAAAAGGAAAGTGGAGAGAGGGGCCTGGGAGGCCCAGGCAGAGCCAGCTGTAACCCAATCCAACCCAGTACCTGTCAGAGAAGGCAACATAGCAAGAGGGAAGAAAGGGCCAAGGTTAGGAAAGGTGGCTCCAACTACAGTAGTCCTAACTAACCTGAGAGCTACTAAAGAAGGATAGAGGTCATAGACCCCAGGGAAAACAGGCACAGTCAAAAGTGCTGTGAGACCCAAGGGAGTGGCAAGAGGTGCTAGAAGGGAAAGATGAGATGAAATTAAGAGGTACAGGGAAGGCTGAGGAGATAGCTCAGTAGAATAAGTGCTTGCCTGGCAAGTGCAAGGGCCTGAGTTCAATCCCCCGTTCTGGAAAAAAAAGAAAGAAAGAAAGAAAGAAAAAAGTACAGGGAAGGTGAGGAAGGCAAGCAGCTATTTGAATTGAAAATGAGTGTGGTATCAGGGATGCAGAAATGAAGGCAGATTCGTGGGCCCCGCCCATACTCATCTGGAGTTTTTGAGCCCTGGAGTGTGCCACATGGCAGAAGAAGCCAGGACAAAAGTCAGAAGCTGAGTGGGAGGCCCCCAGAGGGTACAACCTTGAGATGTTGCCCACCCAGTGTGTCCTGCAAAACTCTGACTCCCTCTAGTGGCCGCAGCTGCGCCTGTGCTGACCCTGCTGCCAGGTCCCTGTGCACGGGGTGGTCCTCCAACTTGGTCCCTGGACTGCAGCTGAGCAGCTGGGTGCACAGCATCCTGCTTAGGGGCCAGCCATCCTGGGACCTGCACAGCTCTTTGAGTCCTGTCTTCAGATGGTTGGAGGTCTCAGTTGCCTCAGCCCCACCTCTACACCCCCAATACCATCCTTCTCTCCCCAGGTCCCCATTCTGCAAGGGCTCATGACCATGGGGTCCTGACCTACCTTAGAATGAGCCAGGATATTATGGGTAGACAACCCAGCCAAGCACACCTTATCCCTGGACAAGAACTCTTGGAATCTGGAAACATTGTATCCCACTTTCCTCCCCAATTCTCCCAACTACACACACATCATTTCTATTTCCAGAGACTCCAGGATCCCAGACTGAGAAAGCCTGACTCTGCGAGGTGTGTTGGTATACTCTTATAATACCAGCACTTGGGAAGCTGAGCGAGGAGGATCTCCAGGAGCTCAAGGCCAGCCTGGGGTACATAAGCAAGTTCAAGACCAGCCTACAGGGCAAGACCCCGTCTCAAAACAAACAAATTTGATTCTCTGGGTTTTGGGTCCCGACCCACTATTGAGAAGACAGGGCCAACAAGGAGCCCACCTAGCCAGGTGGAGAGGACAGTGCCATTTTTGTTTAGCTGGTTGTCACCTCCCTCACTATCCAGTTACACCACCATCCAGGTCCTTGTCTCTCCCCTCATATGTACAGGTAAGACTTCAGAAACAAGGACGCAATGTGATTCAGACTTTAATAGTGGAGCTCATTTCAACACCACTTTGGTGGTGGCAACTGTGGAACACAGCACAGGAGAGTGTGCAGGGGCTCTGGTGCAGCTGGAGGAAGAACAGAGAACTAGGGCTGGGAAGAGAAAACAGAGGAGCCCCCCGCAAGTACACACCCCACTCTGCACCAACCCAGGCTTCAACTAATAGAAACAGAATGGATGTTATGGCCATTCTCGGTCACCCTTCCCAGATCAGCAAACACAAGCTCATCATGGATCCACAGCCACATGATGGGCAGAGGCAGTCCCCTCAGTCAGGCCACTTTTAGGCCCTAGGGTTATAGGGAGATGAATAATTAACAGGATGAATGAAAAATAAACATAAATAAATAAATGAATAAATAAATGCACTAAAGGCCTAGTGAGGCATGACCACACGCCCAACACACTCCACACAGTTCATGGCTCACATGCAAGATGGAAGACACACAAGACAAGGGAGCACAGTGACACGTGGCCCCACTCCCAACACCTCAGCATGCCAGCACCAACCAAAGCTCCTGTCACAGACGTCCTTCCTCGAACCCCCTTACAAATTCTCATTTTCATCTCAAGTCTTTGAGGGAGGAGAGAATAGAAATGGGAAATGTAGGCGTAGAACCCAATGGACAGGGCCAGGAGAGGACAGCAGAGCAGAGAAGCAGAGCTTGGATTAGCTGAGGAGCAGCCCGAGCGGGTAGTCAGGATATTCTGGGTGCCCTAGGCTTAGGAGGGGGAGAGGGTGAGCTACCACAGGGCAGGACAGTGAGGAGGAGGTTCCAAGAGGATGGGACAGAAGGTCCAAGTGTCCAAGCAAGAAGAGGGTTCACAGCACGCTGGGGTTACGGAAATTATGTCCCGCGAAGCGTGCTTCATCTCCCAGCTCTTCTTCAATTCTGAGAGAGAAGCAGAAAGGAGACTGGTTGCTGGAGGTGGAACAGTGGACTGCTTTCTGGGTTTGTGTGTGTGTCTGTGTCTGTGTGTCTGTGTGTGTGCGTCTGTGTTTGGTACTAGGGACTGAAGCCAGAGGTGGTGTTCCACCAAGTTACAACACTGATTTTTTGTTTTTGTTTTTTTTCAGGAATGGAACTCATAATCTTGCCAGGTAGACACTGTCACTGAGGTATATCTATAGCCCCAGCTTTTGTTTTTGAAATAGGGTCTCACTAGGTAGCCCAGGCTGGCCTTAAGCTCACTTAAATCCTCCTGCCTCAGCCTCTCTCAGTGCCGTGATTGTAGGCATGACAGATGAGGCTTTTAACTCTGTAGTTATGGGTTCCCCTTCCCCAATACCCTCACCTCATGAGCTGGTTGTACTTAGCCAGACGCTCAGAACGGCAAGGGGCACCAGTCTTGATCTGAAATATTTGCAAAACACAGGCAGCTCATCAAATGTTCCCTTCACCCCCAGAAAAGAAACTACTTTTTTAGGGGCCAGGGAGATGGCTCAGTAGAATAAGTGCTTGCCTGGCAAGCGCAAGGGTCTGAGTTCAAATCCCTGATTCCGCAAAAGAAAAGAAAACACTTTTTTTTTTTTTTTTCTGGCACTGGGGATAGGACCCCTAGGGTCTCCCACTGAGCTACATCCCCAGCACTAAAACCTGCTGTTCAAACTTGCTGGCTGCCCTCCAGCACCTGCAGAAGAGATCTACCTGAGCCAATCTCCCGAAGACCCCCCTCCACCTGCAAGTTGCCCTCACCTGGCCAGTGCACAGCCCCACCACCAGGTCAGCAATGAAGGTATCCTCGGTCTCCCCTGAGCGGTGACTCACCATGACCCCCCAGCCGTTTTCCTGTGCCAGCTTGCACCTGCACCATAGACCAGCCTGAGCCCTGGCCCATGCTCCCAAGCTTACCCAGCCCACCCACCCTTGGTCTGTGGGGAGAAACATGCAGCAAGGGCCTGAGAGCCAGGGGCACAGCGGGCAGGGCTGAGAGAACAGGAAAGGGACTCAGGTTCCCTGTTCCCTTGAGCAGCCCTGGCTGGATCAGGCGGGGAGGGCTTGAAAGAGGGAGCCTGCAGCAGCAGGGCCACAGAGAGGCTAAGAGCCACTCACGCCTGGATGGCTTCTGTGACCGAGCCGATCTGGTTGACCTTGAGCAGCAGACAGTTACAGGCCTTTTCCTCCACTGCCCGCTCAATGCGTTTTGGGTTGGTCACTGTCAGGTCATCACCCACAATCTGGATCCCTACATTGGCTGTGAACTTGGACCAGGCTGCCCAGTCATCCTGGTCAAATGGGTCCTCGATGGAGACCACTGCAGAAGGAGAATGAGGTGACTGTCACCCTGCCTGGATCTCTGTTCGGGCAGGGGCACCCCTCCCTTTAATTTTCTGAAATATTGAGGGTGCCTAACAAAGCTTGCTCCTCCTTGTACCACCCACTCTCCCCAAAATAAAATAAGCCTGCCCCAAGTGCTTTTTTGTTGCTTTTTTGTTTTGAGACAGGATCTCACCTTGAACTAACTACTTAGGCCCTGCTGTCCTCCAGCTCACCTTTTTTTTAAAAACGCATTTGGTACAGGGTCTCACTATGCAACTTAGACTCATAGTGATCCTCCTGTTTTCAGCCTCCCCAGTGCCGGGCTTACAGGCATGCGCCACCATGCCCAGCCTGGTCACCCAGTTCAGCGGACCCTGAGGTGAGGCTAGTGCAGCATGTGGTGCCAGGGATGGAACCCTGGTCCCTGCACTTGCCTAAGCAGGTATTTAGTGTGCTACAACTCACTTTTATTTTTTAAATTTTTTTGTTTTTGTGGGCTTCTTTTATTTTTTGAGACAAGGTCTATCTATGTAGTTCAGATGGCCTTGAAATTACTATGTAGCCCAGGCCACCCTCCAACTCAAAGGGATCTTCCTGCTTCAGCATCCTAAGTGCTGGGATTACAGGTGTGTGTCATCATACTTGGCTTATGTATTTATTTGTGTTCCTTAATTTGTGGAGGTTCTCATTCACTAAGTCACTAAGATGCCCAGGTTTGGCTCAAAATTGTTATCCTCCTGTGTCAGCTTCTCAGAGTGATTCCAGGCATGTACCCCCCCCCCACTAAGTCTCACTTCATAAACCCTCCACTAACAAGGGTTCACAACCTTTCTACAACCTCACTTTGCATCTTCCTATTCTCACTTCTGCAAAGCCCTTCCTCATTATCAGTTGAAGCCCTTTCTGCTGCAGTTTCTGCTCTTCTTTCTCTATCGCAGGAGAACAAGGCCCAGCTGCCTCCTCTCCTGGACAAAGGTCCTTGGTAGACCTGGAGAGGGCAGGTTAGTCCCTCTTCAGCTGTCTTCTTTATTCACACATCACTCGCAGGTCCATCCTGCAGCCGGTTTCAATCAAAAATACTGAAATGCATTAGTTCACTGCTAAGGCACACCAGCTTGTCTCAGTGTCCTTGGTTCTCACCCCTTCCCCATGACCTCAGTGACTTTTCAAGTCTCGAACTTGGGACCTTGCACTTGCCAGGCAAGTGTTTGTGCCACTGAGCTACCTTCCCAGCCCTCCCAGTGGCTTCTAATCAGGACCTCAAAACTGAAGCATCAGAGGGCCTTGCAGTTACATAGCACCAAAGTCCTGTCTGCAGCAGGCTCCTTCACCCTGACCTACTTCTCAGGTTCCCCTTAGTACATCTCCACCTGGCACTCACAAAGTCAAGTTGCCCCAGCAGGTCTGCCTGCTCCCTACCACATTCCAGGCTTTTGTTTCTTTTTTTTGGGGGGAGGGGTGAGACAGAATCTTGCTCTGTAGTTCAGGCAATCCCACATGGCAGTTCTCACCAGGATAGTCCCTGACAAAGTCCTGGTAGAGCGACCCCAGCTGGTCCCCAGTGATGTATCGAGAAGGATCCGCTGGGGACTTGAAGTCCAAGTCGTATTTCCCATCTCGGTAAAACTCTGAGGCAGCAACATCCATACCGATGACAATCTTCTCTGTGTAGCCAGCCTTATCGATGGCTTCCTTCACCAGTTCCAAGGCTAGAGATGGAAGAAAGTGAGACTGTAAGGAAGAGGAGAGAATACAGCAGAAAGAGAGTTGGGTCCGCTGCCAGGGAAAGTGTGGCTATGCTTGTTGTTAGGCTGGCACCTAGGTGTGGGGGAGAAGGAATGAAACTGTTCCTAACATCAGCACTTAATATTGGCATCATGTCATCTAAGCATTTTACATTTGTGATCACATATGTGATTTCATCCTCACACTGGTACTATGAGGCAGAAATTACTATATTCCCATTTTACAGATAAGAAAGAAGAAGCATGGAATTAAGTAAGAAACACCAATACCCAGCCAGGTGTGGTGGTGGACAGCTGTAATCCCAACACTCAAGAGGCTGAGGCAAGAGGATTACTACAAGTTCAAGGCCAGACTGGGCTACGTAGTGAGTCTGAGACCAGTGTAAACTACATAGCAAGACCCTGCCAAGGGAGAAAGGAAGAAAAGAAGGAAGGAAGGAGGAAAGGAAGGGAGGAAGGAAGGAAGGAAGGAAGGAAGGAAGGAAGGAAGACCCAGTAGTTTGTAACTCCTCAAAGTCTAAATAAACCCAGGCAAGTGACCTCAGAACCTCATCCTTTCTTTGTTTTCCTATCTGGGGATCAAATCCAGGGCTTCAAGTACACTAGGCATGTGCTCTACCACTGAGTTACACCCCAGCCACTTTTTTTTTGAGGCAAGGTATTGCTCAATTGCTCAGGCTGGCCTGGAACTTGTAATTTTGCCTCAGCTGTAGCTAGGATTACAGGCATGTGCCACTGCCCCCTGGTGGAGAAACTTCACTGTTAAATACGACCTATGTAGTTTTTGTTCAGGACAGTTTCTCCATGATACAAGAAAATTAGGAGGGCCGGGGAGATGGCTCAGTGGAATAAGTGCTTCCCTGGCAAGCGCAAGAACCTGAGTTCAATCCCTGGTTCCGCAACAAAAAAAAAAAAAAAGAAAGAAAGAAGAAAAGAAAAAAGAAAAGAAAATTAGGAATCCTAAAGGTAGTATACATTAGGAAAGTGTTCCCTGACTTACGGTGTATTTCATCAAACTGAGATGCCTATGGAGTTAAAAGAATGCCCCAGCATTCCCAGGGGCTCCAGCGAGAATTTACAGATGCTACCAGGTCTAGCTGGACAGGTAAAAACCTGTCCTAGGTCAGGCTGTGAACTTGGCAGGCTCTGGAGCTGGCCCCTGCGCTGGTACCACCTGGGATTCACAGGAGCCCAGGGATCCTCCACCCATACTCTCAGGACTCTGCAGAATGAGACCATCCTGTCACCCTGCAAACTCAGTGAGCTTCCAAACCAGCCTCACCCTCACTGTTCTCCAGGATGTTGGGAGCAAAGCCGCCTTCATCTCCCGCGTTGGTGGCATCCTTGCCATACTTGTCCTTGATGACCCCCTTGAGGGTGTGGTAAACCTCTGCCCCCAACCGCATGGCGTCCCGGAAGCTCTCAGCCCCCACAGGGAGGATCATGAATTCCTGCATGGCCAGCTTGTTTCCAGCGTGGGAGCCACCATTGATGACGTTGAAGGCCTAGGGAGCCACCAAGGGACAAAGGTCAAGGACCCTTCCCCTGGGAAGGTTAACCCAGGATTCCAACCTGGGCCCAGTGGCGCAGGTCCCCATCCTCTCTCTTCAGCTGCTCTTTCACTTTCCCCCATCCTTCTTCACAAGGGTTCATCCCACCCCACCCACCAGGAGAGGCCCAGGCAGGCACAGTGCTCACCGGCACAGGCAGGATGAGGTCTGAGTTTCCAGCCAGCTGAGCAATATGGCGATAGAGAGGCAATTCCCGCTCAGCTGCCCCTGCCTTACACACGGCCAGGGACACACCCAGGATGGCATTGGCCCCAAATTTGGCTGGGAGATTACAGAAGAAGGAATGAATACAAATGCCCCTCTTTCTGGTCCCTGCTTCCACCTGTGTTACCCAAACACAGTCAGTAAAGGAGACCTCTCCTCTCCTCCCCATCCCAGCCACTCATCCTTTTCTGGGCTGCAACAGCTGTGCAAAGGAAGAAGTAGGGAGGAGGTGATTGGGAAGGGCAGAGAAGCACACTGCTTTCCAAACAGCCCTCAGACTGTCTCTTGCCAACTCCCTGATCTTTATGCTACAAAGAAGTTTCTCCTTCTGTCTAATGTCATAGCAGCTTTGGAAGGAGGAAGGTCCCCAACACAATATGGTCCCTCCAGTACCCTCCCTTTCTCCTGGTCCCTGCTTACATTTGTTCTCAGTTCCATCCAACTCCAGCATGAGGTTGTCCAGTTTCTCCTGCTCCACCACAGACAGACCCTGTGGACAGAACCTCCATCACCCAGAGCCACAGAGGAGGCTGGGACTGGAAGTCACACAGACACCCATTGGCCAGGGTGTACCCCGGTCCCTGTGACAGCAGTTTGTCAGTACAAGGGGACTGGAACTCCCACGGCAGCAGGTGGCAGTATGGAGTCCCTTTTCCCTCCCCTTCCTCCCCATGGGGCTCCTTCCAGGACCCTGGTCCTGCATCCCCAGCCAGGGGCGGGCCTCACTGAGCTCAGGAGGGCAGGTGCAATGGTGGTGTTGATGTGATCCACTGCCTTCAGGACACCTGGGGAGACAGAGAGACTGGCCAGTCAGAGGCAGGCAAGGTGGGCCTGAGAGGGACAGGATGGTGACAGCAAGGAGTAGAAAACACACTAGGAGAGAGCCAGGGACTGCACAAGGCAAGGGCATGAGGCTGAGGAGGGCAGAGCCTGGAGCAGAAAGGCCTCACCTTTGCCTAAGTAACGCTGCTTGTCTCCATCCCGCAGTTCCAGGGCTTCATAGATGCCAGTGGAAGCTCCACTGGGGACTGCAGCCCGGAAGAGACCTGGGAGATATCACAGTGAGGAGAGGGAAGTCCTCCCCTATAGCCCAGCCCCTACACACTCACATCTGCACCAGCCACACAAGCAGTGAGCTTTTCATTGAGCTGAGACCCCACAGGCACAAGTGGGAGCCCATAGAAGTAAAGCTGTGACAGGCACACACATGCGTGCACACACATACATGTGCACATGTGTGTTCAGGCACACACTGACAGGGCATGTCTCCCACTCAACTAGAATCCAGGAATCCCCCACAGTCCTGCCTTGGGGGCCTGGCCTGGTGTCAGGAAGACTCTCAACCCTACCAGCAGTGGGAGCCCAGCCAGTACCTTTGGCAGTGTGGAGATCCACCTCCACGGTGGGGTTCCCTCGGGAGTCCAGGATCTCCCGGGCCCAGATCTTCTCGATGGACATGACGGCTGAGGGTTCCTGGGTTGGAAAGGAAAGAAGGCAAACGTTAAGAGGCTTAGGGGGCGGAGCCTGAGTTCAGAGGGAGGGGCTGGTGGCTGAGAAAGAGGTTACTGCAGTGAATGGGGGTGGGGAGAAGCGGGCTGCAGTTAGCAGCGATAGAGGGGACCCCCCATACACACCCCTGGGGAGAAGGTCAATGCAGTGGGGAAGGGGAGGCTCAAGAGACCAGAAGATGAGAGAACACCACAGGGAGGAGGGGAGGGGCCTGGCAAGAGGATCTCTGGTCTCCGATCACCCCAGAGTACCCGTAATGGTTGCCAGGCCAGAATTTTCCCCAGGAGCCAGGAAGAAGCGTGTCCTGCAGACCCCCATCCTGTCCTAACTCAACAGCTCAGCCTGCCTGGCTCCGCCGCTCCCTAGGGTCCCTCCTCTTCCCGAGGAGCGAACTGCAGTACTGGGGGAGGGAGCTGTGAAAGGATGAGGCCCTTTGCTCCGGGCCCCAGCGGTACCCACTCCTCCCATCCCTTCCCAGGCAGCGGAGGATGGCGTAGGGATGCGTGGAAGAAGAGGCTTCTAAAGGAAATCTGGGAGATAGAGAAAGGCGAGAGAAGACATTTCCCCAAACGCAAGCAAAAAAAAGACGCACAGCTATGACAGGCAAAGCCACGGAGACACTTAACTTGGGAACCGATCAGCAGGACCTGGGCAAAGTGGGACGCGAAGGGAAAGGCGGCGGGAGAAGAGGCAGGGAGAAGAGCAGGTGCGGGGAGGAGGCCGAGGCAGGAGGGCAGCTGGCCGGGCCCAGCAGGTGCGTAGCGCCCTGGGTCTCCGGGCGTGAGGGGGAGGTGGGGTAGGGGCGGGGGCGTGACGGGGGAGGGGTCCTGCCAGGCTGGGCCTCACCTAGCTGGGGCTGTAGGCTTGGCTGGCTGCGACGGTAGCAGCGGCGGTGGCGGCTCAGGAAGGACGCGAGAGGCGGCTGCGGCTCCTGGCGCGGGCGGGCAGGGGGCGGCGCCTGCAGGGCCGTCGGGCACATGTGACCCGGAGCCCCCGATGAGTCAGGAGCTGTCGGTGGAGGCGCACGTACGAGCAGGGGGTGGGGGACTGGGGGTGGGGGGGATGGGCTGGGGCAAGCAGGCCCACTCGCGCTGGTACCCACGTCTACATCTCCAGCGACTCCAAGGAGACAGGTGCAACCCTACACCAGTAATCACATTCAGTGCCTCACAAACCAGGTTACGTGCCAGAGCACCAAGTTGTCCCTTTATTTAAAAAAAAAATCCAGCCTTCTCTAAGGCCCCAGCAGGCTCCAGGCAAAAACCCTGCCCAGGTGCCCATCGCAGAGCCGGGCATCTTCAGCTCTGGCACAAGGGAGGCATCCTGTCCCCCCCCCCCAGTCGGTCCCCTGTGATATCTGAGTGAATATGGGATCCCCACTCCCCACCCCGCGGTCTCATCAGGTCTTTGGGCCAGGTCTCACTCGTTGCTTTCCTGCGGGAAGAGAACAGGAGGAAAGCCTCTGGCTCAGTCTGGAGTACCCAATCTCCTAGCCATCTGGCCTCCTTTCCCCTCCCATCCCTGTGTCCTGTTATTTTCAGCGCCCGGATTTTAGCACAAGGTCTTCCCTGCTGCCTTCTCTTCCAGGCCCCACTCCCTCCTTCATATGCTGCCATCCAGCCCCGCCCTGCCTCCTTCCAGGATCCCCCAGGTCATTCTTTCCTAAGCCTTTTTTTTAAAATGTATTTAGTACAGGGTCTACAGAGTCTCTACATAGATCTGATTCCTAGTGATCCTCCTGTTTTCAGCCTCCCACGTGCTGGGATTACAGACACTCACCACACCCAGTCTCAATCACTCTCAGTGCACCCCCCTGGGGGTGGGGCAGAGCCAGCCCCTGGGTCTATCTAATCCTCTGAGCTATGTGGCAAGCCTCCTCAGCCTTTTATCAGCTCCACACCTTCCTCCTTGGTCTCCTGTCCTCACCTCAGGTACCCTCACCCTTAATTTTCTTGGATAGTCTTGCTCTCTCCAAGAGCTCCTTTCCCTTGGCCCTCTCCTGCCCACCTCCTCCTCCAACAGCTTGTCCTCCCCACCTGCCCAGCCCTTGGCCTCTGCTCCATTCCTCCCTGCCAGCTACCTTACTGTGCTTAGAGACCAGCACTGCTGCTAGACGATGGCTAGTCCGGTTCCAGGTCATGCTCAGGCTCTGGCTCCTGCTCTGGGTCCTCTTTTATCCTCTGACGGATCTCATCAGCCTCAGCTCTTTCCTCTTCCTCAAAGAACTCCTTGTCCAGGCGCTCAAGGTGTGGCAACTGTACCAGGGCCTCTTGGCGGTAGTCAGTCTCATCTGTGCACGGATTCTCCAGCAGCACCAAAGCTCGCAGCTTGGGCAGTTCCTGTAGCTTGGCCAGCTCCCCCAGGCTAGTTATCGAGTTGCCCCTGCCAGTGTGGTTAGGAGGGGGTGACCCACGAATAATGGACTTTGGTTGCTGCTGTTAGGAGTGGGGTCTCTGAGGGGCGGGCCTTCCCACAAGGATTCAGTTTCCCTCAAAACACTGGGCTTGCTGCAGAGGTGCTGCCCAGACCCACTCCTGTCATGCTTCTGCCCTTCATGGAATCCCATAGTCTACCCTGTTATAGGTTGTCTTTCGCCTGCTGGAGCAGCATCAGGCCACCCTCAGACCTGCTGGGGAGGAACTTGTGCCTATACAGGTAGGGGTTAGAGTCAGAAAACAGGTTAGTGGAGGAGGACCTGGGGTCTGAACATGGGGTTGTGTGGGTGCTGTTCTGGTGTTGGCTGAGGAGGAAGCCTGGAATAAGGGCTGAGTGGGAGAACAAGCCCAATCTCCCTATGGGCCTCCCAGTGGGCGACTATGTATTTGTTCTCATGTCCTTTCTTTTTTTCTGTGTGCGCCATCACGCCCAGACTCATGGCCAGCTCAGTGTGCCCCGGGTGCCGGCCGGGCGGGGCCAGCAGGGCATGCAGTAGTACCAGGGATCAAACCACCCCCCCCGCCTGGTCCCTGCGCTTGCCTAAGCAGGTGCTCAGTCTGCTGAGCTATCTCGCCTGCCCTCTTATGTCCTTTCTTCAGGCCTTTGTGCAGTTCATCCAAATGGTTCAGCCTGGTAGCCATGGATGTGCTGGGCTCCTGAAGTACAGGTGCATTGTACTGGAGTGTTCCGCACAAGGTGGTGTGTGGCTTATCTCTGATCCTTGTCATTTAGATGTGATGTCTGCAGATGCCCCCACCCCAACCATCTCCAAGCATGCCCAGTTAATGGCCACTGAGGAAGGATCTGTTATCCCTAGCAGATTCACAGGAACACACACACACACACACACACACACACACACACACACACACACACACAAAATCATGAGGGTAGAGCTGATGGCTAAGAGCCTGCCCCAGAGGACAGTGGCCTGGGCTGGGGCTCTCAGGTACACCACTCAGTTCTGTTGTGGTTGTTTTGTTTGTTTTTGAGACAGGATCTTTCTATGTAATCCATGCTGGCTTTATTTATTTTTGTCTTTTTGAGACAGGGTCTCACCATGCTGTTCAGGCTGGCCTTTTTCTTTTTTTGTTTTTTCAGGCTGGTCTTAAGCTCACTTTGTAACTCAGGCTGATCTCTAACTCATAATGATCCTCTTGCCTCAGCCTCCCTAGAGCTTAGTTACAGGCATGTACCACCATGCCCAGCCAGGCTGGCTTTAAACTCACTATAATCCCTCTATCTCAGCCCCCCAGGTTCTGAGATTACAGGTGAGTGCCACCATACTCTGATGGAGGATTTGTTCTTGTTATCTTCTAAGGAAGGAGACAGTTTCCTGACATTTTTACTTAAACACACGTAAGGCCAGGTGCAGAGGCACATACCCATAGAGACTTAGCAAGACCAGGTCTCAAAAAAAAAAGCATGGGGAGAGAAGAAGAGGAAAAAGGCAGCAGGAAGGGGGGCGGGGTATATAGATCAGAATTCCATCCCAAGTACTGAAGGAAAAGAAACAGAACAGAAGGAAAAGAAAAAAAAAGAAGAAAAGAAACACATAAGGCCTCCAGGGGCTAGAGGAAGAGCTGGATGTTGGAGCCACATGAAGAGAGGAGGAGAGGGGAGGGGAGGGAAGAAGAGGGAAGAGGAGAGGAGAAGAGAAAAAGAGAAGAGAGCCAGCCAGATAGCTCATGGACTAAAGCGCCTGCTTAGGCAGAGTGCAGCAGCCAGGGTTCGATCCCCAGCTTGCTGTACCAGCCCTGCCCCCATGGCACCCTGAGACCCTTGATTGCGCCTGGGCATGGTGGTGCATGCCTGCAATCCCAGCATTTGGGAGGCTGAACACAGGTGGATCACTAAGAGCAAGTGGACCCTTACTAAAATACCAAAGAGAGAGAGAGAGAGAGAGAGAGAGAGAGAGAGAGAGAAAAGAAAAAGAACAGAGACCACCTCTGATTCCTTTAGGTGTTTCCAGAACACAGCACAAGGCCTGGCATCTTATTAGTTTGGGAATGGATATTTAGAAGTTGCCTTGAGAGCAGATGTAGAAGGCTGAAGTGAGGAGCAGACTGGGTGAGGAGTGGGAGATGGGACAGGGAGGAACCCAGGCTCCAGAGCACCTCTTGGCCAGGGGCAGGCCCAGGTGGAAGGGACATACCTCAAGTTGAGGTACTGCAGAGACTGCATTTCCTTGGAAAAGCCGCTCAGAGTTTCAATGTGGTTGTCTCGCAGGTGTAAGGTGGTGAGATCGCTTAGGTTTTCCAAGCCTTCCACTTTCTTCAGCATGTTCTGGGCCTAGGTCCCAAGACACAGGAGGGTGAGAGAAGAGGCTAATCAATCTTTTTGTGTGTGTGTGTGTGGAACCAGGGATTGAACTCAGGTCCTTGTGCTTGCTAGGCAAGTACTTATTCTACTGAGCCATCTCCCCGGCCAAGAAGAGGGAAGGAGAAGGCCCAGATAAAGAGGGAAAGAGATACACCAACAGAGGAAATGCAAAGACAGGAAAGCAGGGTGGGAGAGGGAAGGGAGCAAGCAGTGAACAATTTTTTTTTTTTTTCTTGCCGGAACCGGGGATTGAACTCAGGCCCTTGCACTTGCCAGAGAAGCGCTTATTCTACTGAGCCAGCTTCTCAGCCCAGTGAACAGTTAAAGAGCTAAAAAGGTCCAGATGAGGCTGGACACGCAGCTCAGGGGTAGCTCACTTGCCTGGCATGCAAGGCCCTGGGTTCCATCGCAGAGAAAGGTCCATAGAAGTCCCTATTAAGATCTCACCCAGGGCCAGAGAGATAGCTCAGTAGTGGCATAGGCACCTGCCTGGCAAGTGCAAGGTTCTGAGTTGGATCCCTGGTACCAGGAAAAAAAAAAAAAAAGATCTCACCCAAACCACCCCTCCACCCCTAAGGGAGGTGGAGATACTTTTCCCCACCCCCAAGGCCTGGGTGCCGCAGAAACACAACTGCAGCATCCCTTGGAATGAAGCAGTGCCAGTCTAAAAGGCTAAACCTGTAAGAGGCTGCCTTAGCCTGACCACAGTGCCTCGGGTACACCACAGGATGCAATGATCTCTACGTTGTCCACCAGGGCCCATCAGCCCTGCCAGGTGGGAAGCACCTTGGCTGTATTCACTTCACATCTCCATGGCATCGGACATGAAGAGCTCAACTGATGACATGGGCTTCTATTAGGATGGAGAAGTTAGGAGCTGAGCCTACAAGAACCCAAGCATTGACTGGGTGTGATGGCGCACACCTGCAATCCCAGCATTTAGGAGGCTGAGGCAGGAGTATCATTGAGAGTTGGAGGCCAGTCTGGGCTACAAAGTGAGCTCACAGTCAGCCAGAACTGCTGGCATAAGGCCAGTGAGACCCTACTCAAAAAAGACAAAAAAGGAGCCAGGAGATGACTCAGTAAAAATAAGCGCTTACCTGGCAAGTGGAAGGGCCTGAGTTCAACCCCCAGTTCCACAAAAAAAAAAAAAAAAGACAAAAAAGGGCCGGGGAGATAGCTCAGTGGCACAATCACCTGCCTGGCAAG